TGGTTGAATAAAGAGATTTAACCGGCAAATGTAACAAACATTGTATATAAAACAGTAAAAACAATAATAACAACAACAATGCTTTGCTGTGGCGGCAATAATACGTTTAATAAATATTACGTCTTCAAAGCTAATAAGTGCTGATGTTGCTTTTTCTGTTGCTTGTTGTAACGTTTAAGCACGATGATCGCTATCATCATCATTATCATTATCATTATCATCATCATCGTGATCATCATCATTATTATTATCATTATGTTAAGGAATAGTGAAGCTTAAAATATTACTGTCAATTTGTATTTGTTGGTCGTGGTTTGCGGAATATTACGCTTGTATGTACGTCTTTCTTAATGAAAGCAGACAAACAAATAAACAAACAAATTTATGGTGATTTGTTTTTCGTTTTTTTTTTTTTTTTTTTTTCATACAAACGTTGAGTTTGTGTTTAAATCACACTTTAAAATAGAATTCAAGTTCGTAAAAAAATGCGGAGGAGTCTAACAGCAAATGTTAACAGTATATATGCATAAGGGCAGGTAGAGCTACTGAAAGTTAAAAACCGCTTAAGTGAATGAAAGTATTTACATTTTTTTAGTTTAGGTAGGTTACGTTCAATTAAAGTTAAATCGTGTTGCCGAAAAAATAAAAAGAGAAGACAAAATAAATAACACGACAAGAAATGTTTGGTAGTTTGTTAAAAAATTAAAAAGTTAACAATAAAATACAGGCATACACATACACATGTGAAATGAGCTGTTTACACAAATACATGGCGGGGACAGATATGATGTTCGTTTCCGAGCATTATCAAGACAAGAAGTTACAAATGTCAATTTCCCATTAAATAATAAAAGCAAAAGAAAAATAACAGCAATACAACAAAATATTTCCGAAGAAAATGCAAAAAAAAACTTAAGAAATTACAATAACGGATCATTTAAAACTGGCTCAGCTTGAATGAAATTCATATTCAGCAACGAAACGAAAGTTGATTTCTGGATAAACTCGGCATATATATATATATATATACATATATATATATATCGTATATCTAGTTGTATGTATGTGTGTGTATGTGTGTGTGTGTGTGTGTGTGTGTGTGTGTGTGTGTGTGTGTGTGTGTGCTCGTATGGGTCTATGTAAATTTTTCTTCTTTTACTTGCTAATTGTCTGACATTTCAGAAATGTTGGCTAAATTATAGCTAAACCCTTCTTTTTTCATTTTTCCTTTTTTTTCTTTCTTTTCATTATTATTTGAAAACACTTATGTGGCACCGCTCTAAATACTTCTCAAGTGTCATTTCATTGAATTTGTTACAGAGTCACGGTGAAGGTGATTTTTTAAATTGATATCTATTAAGACAAACACTAAATAATTGCTATACTACATACGTAGCTCTATCGTTCGCTTGAGATCTTCCGATATCGCATTAATAGCGTAAAGGAAATCTATTTATTTCATTGTATTTTTTTTTTTTTTTTTTCTTTTATTCAACGTAACCTGCCTTTCGATTTTTCCGTGTTATTTCAATCATATTAAGAAGCTTGTGTAACGTATACGCCACGTTAGCTTGACTAAGTGCGCTCTCACTTAAATCTTTAGTTTTCTTTACCTCAATAAATCAATTTAAGCCGCGCTAAAGCTATTATTTGATTTGACTTTGACTTTGGAAAATGAAGGTTTATTTGATTGAACAACGGCAGAAAACCAAAAAAAAAACAACGCAAAAAAAAAAACAAGACAAAGCAAAATGTTTAACATACTTCCTTGTGTTTCGTGTCATTAGAAATGACACTTTTTTGAAAGGTAATTGAGGTTTGAGGAAAACTTTTACATTTCTACGGCAATTTTCAACTAATAAATCTAATTTTCCTTTTTCATATAATATATATATTTTATTTTGTACTTTTTGTTTTTCACTTCAGTTTTGAGGTTATTGTACTTTTAGTTTAATACTTATAGTTTTTGTTTACTTTTAGTTAATATTTTCCAACATGTGTTGATAACTTATTCTCAACATTTACTTTTCAGTTTAAAGAGATCAGTTTATTTAATAAGCACAATTTTTAGAAAGTATGTTAACTTTGTTAAAAGCTACATGAAATAGAATTGCTATTGAAATCGAATTATTGTGATTAGCAATTTTCAAAAGTAGAATTATCATCAAAATGTGTTTCAATTTATTTAAATTTAGATTTCATTAAAAGAATGTATTATCGGATCATCTCGTTTGGAGGTTTTTCAGTACTCAGCAAAGTTTTGCGATTACTGCCTTTTATGAAATTGCAAAGAAGACGATGTAATAAACTAAAGATTATTGATAAATGGCGCCGATAATTACTTATTTTTATCTTTTTCATTTTACATGACCAATCATCTAGGCAATGCTCCCTATATGTGTAACACAGCGAAGGTCTGAAAGATTTGGCGAGAAAGGGATTAAGGGATGGGAATCGACAAATATTGTGACCAAGTATGGTCACAAACACCGCACCGAGATTTTATCTCGCAAACATCGTGTCACTAGTGGCGATTCTTATCTGCTCGACCACGCGGCAACCTAAACTGCTATCACAAGCATGGTAAAGTTCAAGTTCAAAGTCAAAGATAATTAAATTCGTCTCATGGTGCACTTATAAGTAAGTCGTCTTAGACAAAATAGCTTGAATTGCGGGTAATATTATTAAAAGATTCGCTTTCAGCAGCTTATAATCTTCACCTGGTTTATAAAAACTTTAATGCCCTTAATTAAAAAAGAAAAAAAAAGAAGAAAAAAACTTATTCACATTTTATTATTAACTAGATAATGTTTTGTTTATCATCATAAAACTGCCAAAATATAAATCTTTTCCTTTGAGCTTAACTGTGTAATAAAGCATACAATTACACTCGAGTTGTCATCATAACTTAACATTGTTTGATTTAACATAATTCTTTAATAGCTTTTGAAAAGATAAAATTAATTGCTTTGAAAATAAATCAAAAGCCTAAATTAATAGTCTATTGTAAAGAACTATAAGCAAGGAACGCCAGAATGCATGATACACGCATATATATATATATATATATATATATGCCAGATTATGAGATTACGAGATAATATATATAACATTTCGAATAAACATAAGTATCTTATGGCATGAGTGTAACATAGCGTATTGTGATAGCACTGCTCACACCATACACCTAAGCTATTGGTATAACATATGAATAACATATCCAAAGCTTAACATAATATAGGCAGAGAGCAACAGCAGCCATGATAACATTGCAGCATGGAAGATTGCAGCACAGTCGCCCCTTAGATAACATCATGTCAATATAGTATGATTCCAAAAAATCGAATATGTATGCAACTGCTTATAATAATTATGCAGTAATTTAATTATTATTTTTCTAAAACATATTTTTTTTTTTTAATTTTTGTATTTCATCATAACCGTCAATTTTATATCCATTTCTTTTTTATAAAAACTTGAATTGAAATTTAAAAGAAGATTTCGTAATAAAATTTTCATTATAGAATTTTGCACCTTAAGACTCGGTTTCGATAAAATAATCTAAGTTTAAATTATGTATATGATGCTAAAAATAAATAAATAAAAAGGTTTTGTAGGACATAGCACGGTGCTTATTAATAATGTGCGTAGCATAACATAAACGAGAAACGACTCAACATATCGTCATGAAGAGATAGTGTAATTCGTAAATCGAAATTTTGAATTGTTCGATTCTTCAGAATTTTGAACATGAAATTAACTTTATGCTGAGAAAGGCGAAAGGAACATGTTTGACCTTTTAAAAAATAGATCGAAAATTCGATGGAGAGACAGACAAGACAGGCAGAGAGATAGACTTCTTACGCAATCTCTGACGGCCACTTCTGATCATTTTAAAGAATTGGCAATGGTTTAACAAATTTTTTGGGAAAAAAAAGATGCAATCCATTAAGTATTCAAATTTTCTACACAATTGTAAGAGTACAAAGGTATATTAAGGTTGTGACGATGTATGCAATACCCAGAAAGTCTTGAGGTAGATCCAACTTTCATTATACCGACCGATTCAGAATCACTTTTTGAATCGATCTAAGCTTGTCGGACTCTGTCAGCTCTGTCAGACAGTAAGTTAGCAATTTTTCAGATATTTTCACGTCTTTTGTTCCAAGGGCAAACGCTACTGAAAATGGTTCGGATTTAATCACGTTTTCGAGCACTTTCCATATAAAGCTTTACTTTGGACAGTCAAACTGGTTGAAGTATTTAATGGTGGGTCGTTGTCCATTATAGGGTTTTTACTCATCATCATCCCTAGATTAACTCCAATTGGTCTGAGTAGTGGTGTTGATAACTTACTCGTGATTTTTTGCCTAATAAAATGCGTGTTTACCTGACTCTATGTTTTATTTTTAGTTTATAGATGAATGCTTGAAAAGTTTAATGTTTACACTATGACCGGCAAAATGCAATTATGAATTTTTTGCATTTGATTTATGTAAATTCGTAAGAAAGATATAATTTAAATTTCAATTGTCTATATTATATTAAAGCAGCGTTTAAAGATATCCAAAAGCACAACACTATGTAATTGGCTAAGAAATTTTATATTGACTAAGAATTTATATATCCTTATCCTTATGGTTCAATTGAGTTTTTATTTGCTTTAGCTTAACTTTAAATGGCTCTTGCGATAACTTGTTTAGAGTGTCGTTCGAACGTCGTTTGCTTAGAAGGGAGAAATAAAAGTCAACGATTATTTTACTACATTTTTTTTTTTTTTTTTCTTTTGAGAAAAATTTCATATTAATAAATATTTTAATTATTTTTATAGCAATTTTAAATATTTCAATTTAATATCGGCGATGCTGTTGTAATTACTTGAATTTAAGATCAATTTGCATAAAAATAAGATTATTGTTAGTAGCATCGTTCAAAATTTTCTATTCTTGATATTTTCGGTGGTGAATTATTGAAGATTTTTAGTTTTACGATGAACTCACCATTCAAATAGGAAGCATGTTGTTTCCATAGTTGTTGTACTTGAAATTGTGTCCAACGATTGTTGTCTTCAATGTTGGTAGAATTATTATTATTATTATTATTATTGTTGTTATCATTATTGTTGCTGTTGTTGTTGGCGTTTTGTAAAACACCCACTAAACCGTTAACCAAATTATGAGCTATTAAATTATCATTTAAGTGTATGGATAAATTTTGATTTGCATTGTTGTTGCCATTGCTACTTGCTCCGGTTGATAATAAATTCGCGTTAAGAGGCGAAGAACTATTACTGTTACTGTTATTAGTGTTATTGCTACTGTTGTGATTATTGTTGGGATTATTATTATTCGAGACTACAGCTACAGCAGCAGCAGCAGCGGCAGCATTTGCGTTCACACTCGCCAAGTGTTGTAAATGATGATGTAAAAGTTGACTACTGGGTGGTAGAGTTGCCAGATTATTGCCCAAATTATTAATGGTCTGTTGCAATTGCGAATTAGCGACCACCGATTGCATCGTATTGCGTAACAATTGATTGGCGGTTGCATGATGATTATGATTAATATTTGTAACAGATAAAGTGTTGCCGTTATTGTTATTGCTGGTGTTGAGGTTAAGATGAAGGCTAAGATTGCTAGAGTTGCCATTATGATTGGTCGATGATAATTGTAAATTATTTTGTAATATATTAAGATTATTGCTGCTACTGTTGCTATTATTATTATTGTTGTTGTTGCTATGGCTACTGCTGTTGCTATTATTGTGGGCGTTTGTTAAGCTCCCTGTCAGCAAATGCGGTAAATTATGTACGACTTGTAAAGGCAAAGAACTTAAAGGCGGTAAAGTCTGACCGCTTCCGCTTAAATGATTGGTTAATAGGTGTTGCTGCTGCTGCTGCTGTTGCTGTTGTTGTTGATGTTGTTGATGTTGTTGTGAGACAATTTGTTGTTGCTGTTGTTGTTGTTGCGTTTGCATAATTGATAATTGATTATTTTGAGTGGCAGGCGATGTTAGCTGCATTAAACCATTAGTATTATTAACATTTATTGCTGTTCCTCCACCAACCGAGGCCAACTGCAAAGCCTGCGGTGGTAATTGATATTCCATTCTCATTGATAAAGAATTTGTAAAATTATATACCAATTGAAAAATACTTCGCTAGCATTTGTTCTTTGATTTATTAACGTTACGCTATAAATTCTGCACTCGGAACATTCGTTGTTCTTATGATTATGTTGTTGCTACTCCTGTTGCTGCTGCTGCTGCTGATGATGATGATGATGATGATGATGATGACGATGATGACAATAGCGACAATATTAAATGCACTTGTACTGTAACATGCGCAATTATAATATAAAGCTTTTAAAGCTTTTGACAAACACTGCCCAGCTGATCAAGAAGAGCATTTGTCGGTTGATAAACACTAAACACTTAGAACACTTGTTGGAGTGTAATCAGAAAATAGACATTAAAAGCTTTTTGTAACAGATTTAATTGCAGTTACTTCGATAGCAACAGTGGAAGCGGGCTTAGTTCTATACATAAATGTTTTCAATTGAAAATATGGAAATTAATTCTTTCAAAGATGCGGAATAGCTTGGCCACAGGACTTGAAACTTAAATATGTTTTTCTTTTTTCTAAGAAAATATCTTCATTGAAAAACTTTGCTTATATTGGATTTTCATTTTTTGAACTCAAACTTATAGGATAATTCCTTTTTTATCATAAAAATAATTATAAGTTAAATTTTAGTATTTAAAATCTTTGAAAAATGTTAAAAATATTTTTTTTAATCATTTTAAACAGATGAGAGCATTTCTTTTCTTTTTTTTTTTATTTAATTATTATTTATCAATTTCGAATTTAGTATAACATTTTGCTTTGTACCATTAAAATAATTTAATTAATTATTATTATTGCTATTTTTTCATTTTTAATTATTTATTTATTTTTTTATTTAAGAAGATTCACAGCAGAAAGTCCGTTATGATCACCGGTAACGTTAACAAACAAATTAAAAGTGAACGTCCGCTGTTAACTGGGAAACACTTAATACTGTTGTCTGCTAGCTGGCCTGTTGGTTAACTACTTAGCAAAATCGCCTATAGTACCACGACTGCCTGCCTGCTTTACAGCTTGGCTAACTGAAAACAACTTAACTTTTGTAAAAAAATAAAAAAGAAAATTTTCGATAAAATAGTTACACACAAAAATTTTTTATTTAATTTCAAAAAAAAAAAAAAAAAAAGAGTCAAAAACACTCTCCTTTTATCATTTTTCCGTTAACGCTCATTTACTCACTCACTCATGCTCATTTATTTATTTATTGCTGTATAATAAGTGGCGCACATTTCTTTTCTTTCTTTCTTTCTTTCTTTCTTTTTTTTATTTTTTTTGTTTTTTACTTTGTTTCAACAGTAACACTATCTCCCCGCTTGCGTGATGGCTTTAAAAAGCTTTGCTTAACTCAAATCTTCAAAAATTTACATGACGTTAGTTTATGAGAGCGTAGTTAGTTCGCATCTGTGTCTGTGCGCGACTAAAATAATGCAGAGAGCAGTTGTGCGCCGATGATAGTTTCTGAATATTCGGGCTGTAATATCGGTATGTATGATTGTGTTTGTTTGTTTTTTATTTATTTATTTTTTTTTTATTTATTTTTTTTTTATTTATTTTTTTTTTTTTTTTTTTGTTTAAATGTGTGGGTATGTGCTGTAATCTTCGACGTGTGTATGGGAATAATTTCTTGTTTTTGCCTTTATAACAATACGAACAAACATTAGTCTCTGCATTACTTATATTACATTATTATTATTATTATTATTATTATTTTCTTTCTTATTTTATTGTTTGCCGTCTATATACACGGAAGTATTTTCTGTCCTATGCTTTGTTCATTAGTTTTATCGGTTTTGTTTTTGTATTGCTTAGTTTTCTTTTTCTCTCTCCTTCTTATTTTCATAACATATAAATCGTTTTGCCTTTTGAGTGAAAGTCTAGAAAAATGAGTGAAAATTGATTTTTTTTGTTTTTGTTTTTTTTTTTTAATAAAAACAATAATCAACAGGGACAACATTTAAAAGCTTTTCACTACTAAAGAGCTTGATAGTAATCTTTATTACTTATCAATGCAAGGTTCCTCGATCAATATTAATGAGAAATTATACAAAACACTTAAAATAAGTTAATGAAGTGTGAAAAAAATCCTCTACACTTGTATTGCAAAATGGCTTTTAATCGTTAAGCGATATGATTTGAAAGGCGGTGTCAATCTCCGTGTAACGTTCGATATTTAATTACCCGAAATAATCTATTTAATATCGAAAATGGCATCCATAAGTATGACAGCTACTTACATACGGTCCTCTGGATAATTGATAACGGTAAAAAATTCTGCCGAAAATAGCCTCAAAAGGAATTTTGATTAGACTTAATAGAATTTAAGTTTATTTAAGAAAAAGAAAAGAGAAAAATATTCAAAGCAATATCCATAGTTCGCCCATTGTTACACACTTTCTATCAAGGTAATAACATAAAAAACTCAGATCGAGAGAAAAATTCGGCGATAACATGTGATGTCTTCAACCCTTAAGGTAAGCCTGTTGTTGGGCGGCAGGTAGGGACAGCCGGAAGAACAAAGGCGAACAAAAAATATATTCAGAAACTTCATAAATAGCTTAAAATGTGATTTTTACAACATATTAAAGGAAATCTCTTTTATGCGGTGGAGAGGGATAGCATAAAATTGATAGCTCGTCAAAATATATCAAAGCTTAACAAAGTGGCGAGATAATGCTCTCAAGCAATATAAATAATTAGAAGCACACATGGGAGACATTTTCAAAATGCACTTAGTTCGATAGGATTCATCATAGTCTGGCTTATTCTTTCCATTGCTCTCTATCCCTATACATATGCATATACCATATAAAAAGAAAAATCGCATAAATAAAATAAGTCGTATATAATAGCAAGCCTATAAAAAAAAAACGCACAAAAAAAGATTTAACTCTACCTCAATTTAAATACAGCAGATGCTTCCTGCTTTGTTGGTAGACAATTCGATGTACTTAATAATAAAATATATATATACATATATGAATTAAATTATTATTATTATTATAAATTTAGCCAGAGAATAAATTCTAAGACTAAAGTCTTAAAATCACCAGCATATCTAAGGCTTTCGGCTTTTATTAAAAACTCTACCGCACTTGAGGTTTGAACCCACGACTATTGATTTGCTAGTCGAGTCTCTTGCCTACTCGGCCACTCAGGCGGATTTGAATTAAATACAATCGATAACGTTATTCAAGCTTTAATTTCCATAGATTCATTTATTTTTGGAAAAATTTCTGAAGAAACGTTTTCTATGCCTATCACCAAAGGATGAGGGATATACTAATTTTTTCAAATCCCAACCGTAGGCCTTAGAAGCCTATAAATGTGTCATGTGCCATGTGTTCGATCAGCGTTAAACTGTAAATCGATTTAATCATGTCCTTCTATCCGCCTGTTACAAACATTCTCCTGGCCGCAAAAGCAAGCCCATCGACTTTAAATTTGGCAAAAATATTGCAAGTCGTTGCATGCAGATCGATATTGAAAGTGATTCAAATCCAAAATGAGTATATCCCGGCTTTATGGGCTTTTTGCCCATCATCTACAACAGACGCACGATGTAAATTTCTACTTTTACTATACAAAAGTAGAAAATATCCGCCATGCCCACGCAATGTTATAGAGAATTGAAAATTTAGATTTTTTTATTTTTTTTAATATTTCCTATGGTAACCTGGTACTGTGTATAAAAGGTTTGGTCGTGGCCGAATTGTGTTTTCTTACACCATTTTTTTCTTTTCTCTTCTTTTCAAAAGTTAAAAATTATTCCACGCGAACAAGTTTAGCGCTTTTTTTCGACAGTACGCCAGTTTATCGAAATATCCAAAAATTTCGTGACGATAATTAGTTAATAACTTAAACTCTCTTGTAAACTGTAACGTAATACAATATCTTACTGAATATATAAAAATTGAATGTTCGGGAAGAAGAAGAGAAGCGTTTCTTAAATAGATGTTCAAACTGTGATGTACAAATTATTATAATTCTTTTAATGAAGAAATTGACGGGTAATCTCGCAAGTATTAAACAAAGTTTTTAACCTGCAACACAGAAGATCGTTAAATCGTCGAGTGAACCCTATAAACATTCAAATCTCCACTTTTAGATAAATAGTTTTATTTTCTGATAATCATATTATATATAAATTTTTGAGCTACTTACCCCAACAAAATTAATACATATCAAAAGTAAACAAAACAACAACAAATCTTAATTATAAATAAATTGTAGAAAATTTCACAATTTTTGGTAAAGTTTCAGATTAATTTTTAACGATGATCATAATGATAGTGATGATGCCGATAACGAAAGATAATTACATTAAGAATCGTACACATTTGCAGGAAGTAACCATAGAGCAAGAAATATTGAAGCTTACCTGCAAAAAGAAATAGAAAAGAAAAGGACAAATTATTGAAATGAATAGCTAAGCAAGCAAAAAATAAGAAAATTGAGAAAGGTCTGTTAATCTATAAGCGAAGTAGACAACGAGTTCGAAGAAGGTTGAAGGGAGCAAGAGATTTTCAGCGGGAAAATAAGCTGCATTTCCAAGAACGAGATCTGTACAGACAGTGCACTTTCCCGTACGCCCTATTATATTTAGGCTGCTTCCAATGAAAGGCATAGTAGATTTGCTTCGAAACTTTTTTTTTGACTTTTTATTATATCCTCCACCACATGCGATACAAGGGTATATGAGAAGGTACGTAGCGTTTAGAAGGACTTGAGATAGAGCCGCCTTTTAAGCATCATTTCGTGACTTGATTTAAATATGTCGCTCCGTCTATCCGGCTGTTTGTCTGACCGTCTTATATTCTTGTGTCTAACTTATGAAACCGCTATTTTTGAGTTCTTTTGATTTTGAATTCGGTACACCGAGATGTTATAGCTCAAGAAGAAACGCTATTGTTAAATGGCTCGAACCGAACACTTTTCATAAAACGCTTTATTCTAATATGTAACTGTAGGGTCGTGTAGGGTGTCTAATCATTTTCTTAAAATTCTGAACAAACGACTCATTAAAATTGATTAGTTATACGAGCTTTTACGAGCTCCTCTTGATTTTCTTCTGAAAAGCGAACGTGACCGTTTGCTTCGAAATGCTTTACGTAAAATCGATTTTCTCTTCACGTCCGACCTATTTCGAATGATTTACATGCTCAGTGTTCATTTCTTTCAGTTCATACGCATTCACTGAGTATTCGTGTATTTATGATGACGTGTGAGGAACAGGCCCTTAACATAATTTTTCTTTCTTGAAGCGAATACGAAGTTATGCGACAGCAAAAATGATTCGAGAATCAAATTTGAAACGATCCTGAATAAATACCATTGAGATAAACAGTTAAAACGGGTTGAATCTGATTTTCGTATTATCTTACATTTCGAATTTCGTATGCAACATCGATTTTTGCTGCACCAATAAGAACCAAGAGTGTATAATCTTGGTTCTTTAAATTAATTTATCCGAGAAATATGGCTAACTTTGAGCTCATTCAAGCAGCGATACACACAATACATTTATGTAATTTAATTGAAAGAGTAAGTGCGGAAGAACGATTTTCGAAAAATCATAAAAACTCAAGGCACGAAGCTGTCGGTGAGTGAAGTTCATCTTTGATCGAGATTAAGTTTTCCAACCAATCAAACAAACAACAATAAGCAGACATGAAATTTATGACGGAAAATTCTTAGATGCATATGCTATAAGGAAAGGTTAAAGTATCCAATGAAAATTGCGTAGCTCATCTCCCAGCTCTTTAGCTAACATCTGGCAATAGATACTGAACCGAGATTTTTTTTTAACTTAACCGACCACCATCCAATGATCGTCTTAAGGTATATAAATGGTTTGTTTTTTTTTTGGAGAAAATCAAATGAAATCAAAAGTTCATTTTAATTTTCATAATATATTCGAATAAAAGTGAGTTTAGAAAACAAGGAAAAAAAATCTAATTAATATTAACTTTCTCTCATTTATTTATTCGGTTTTTTTTTCTTTTTTTTTGAATGTCCAATATTCAAAAATTTCTTTTAAGCTAAAATTTTTTTAATGATTGATTAAAACTAACAACGAATTTATGTAAATTATGATATCACATTTCTTAATTTGAACTTAGTAACAAGTGATGTGTGCCGTGAGGATGTCTGAATAGGGAATGAAGACGAAAGATAAGTCAGAAAGTTGCATTTGACTTAGGATGAATTTTAAACATGTATTTATGCATACACACAAACACCTTTTTATAAGTAAAGTATTTAGCGCTTGTTTTCCTCTTTTTCATATGCAATAAGTAATTTAGCACATGTGCGGGCATTTAGATATTATTGAGATGTAAGTACAATACAAAATACGATTTGTATATTCACCACTAAAGGATGAGGACAAATTCGCAAAGTCGCAAATTCGCTTATAATGTTACAGATTAGTTCATTTAAAGTATTTAAAAGAAATAACGCGTGTCCCGTTATGCACCTAACAATGGCATTATATAATAGCCTACGTCATTTCTGATGCTGGATATACTAAGTTTGTGGGGGGGGGGAATTATGTTACATCCCGAACGGCTCCAGGTAGACCGACCTTTTGTAATGCGGGAAACGATTCTAAATCGATCTAAGCCTGTCTGTCCGTCTGATACTGTGCCTGTATTTTTGTGTTCAACCTACAGGCCACAAGATTTTCAAAAATATATTGATGAAGTTGGGTACACCCACCAGCTTTGACCCAACGACGCACATTATTGCAAATGGTTTGGATGGGTGTACTTCTTTACGAAATCATTATATGAAAAAAAATTGCAATTTTCAAAATTTCTCGGCAAAACTCCCTCTAAAATAGTGTTTGGATATAACGAATTGGTACAAAAAATATGGTACGACTGGGGTAATTTTTTGAACTCCCTTTTATATAATCGCCCCTACGAAAACTGAATTTTTATATGGTAAAAAGTGTAATTTTCAACACCTCATGGTGAACGTTGATTCATAAGAGCAAATCGATAAAGAATTCATTTTTATTGAGTTTGGACTACGTAGACGTATTTTTTGGATACCAACGCAATAAAGGATTCGTAGGAAATGTAAACCCTTATAAGCCAAAAAGACAGATAATTGTTAGTGAAAATTTTTTCATGATAGTAATATCACAAAAAAATCAGGTGGACTACATTTGAACCAGATGGGTCTGTTTCCTGAACCCCAATCCATACAAGATTTCTCACGAGTATTAAGCTCTTCAAAAATAGATTTAGTTTTATATAAGTATGATGAAAATTGGTCTATTTTTTAGACCCCAATATATACAAGGGTTCACATGATAAGCAAGCCCTTATATGGGCAAAAAGTAGAATTTCTAGTTTTCTATCGCGGAAACTAAAAAATATTAAAACTTTTTGGCAAATATATTAAGTTTGTTACATTTACATTACATGATGGGATATTTTGGACGTCCTTTAATATGCGGGCTTTCAGGAAAAGTAAGTCTTTGCATGTACAATAATGTGATATATTAGATGTATTATTATCAAAATGAGCGAATAACTGTACCGGGCGAAACGGCATTTGAAATGTTCAACGCCATAACACACAGTACACTAGAAAGCATAAAAAGATTGATGGACATATTTTTAGTCAAATTCATGCGTTCATTAGTGCATAAGCCTGTCATATCTAATTTGGAATCAACTTTTTGAGGTTATTCCGTGACTTAGGTTTCTTTTGATTTTACAGCTCGTGAAAAGCAACCATTTATTGACAGAATAGAGCGTATTTTTTTTTTTTTTCTCTCTTTTTGTTAAAGAAATTTTCATCTTTATGTGAACCTCAGATTTCTTGTAAAGAAAAACTCGAAGTTAGTTAATAGATTTCATAATATTCTCGTACTTCGCCTGTATTTAAGCGAAATATTGATAATAAACAGAATTTGTCGATATTATGCTTCATTTTGCAATTTTAAGGTACAAAGTGGAATACTTGATTGTCTTCGAAAACCACTGGTCATCTACCTTACCGTTGGCGAGAGAATCGCTGCTTATCGGTAAAGGGGAAAATCGTACATTTCCTTGAAGCGATGCACAGTGAAAACCTTACTTTATGATGAAAAAGCCTTCCTTATTTAAACAGAAATTTAATTAAGGAAAATTAAATTTAAAAAAGAGGTATATTTGTAGATGTGCCTTAACTATTTTGAATGCCATATTTAAAACTAAAAAATTCTCCCTTATATTGTAGGCTTCTATTTTAATTTATTCAATTACGAGACTATCAACGCCATTATGGTCGAATAGATGAACAGGTGACCAGGCAAACCTGAATAAATCTATTAACTTGAGCTGCTTGAAAGAAAAAAAAAAATTTCCATTAATATCATCTCTGGCAGTGTGATTAGAAAAATTGATAATACAATAATGAACTACTGCATACGAAAACATGATAAATAATTAATTAATTCAACCTGCACGTTACCCAAAGCTCAAAAAAACAAAAAAAAAAAACTTTCATTTTGGTTTTCTAAAGATGTTTCAGTTTTTTTCCTTATTCTTTTTTCAAATTTCTTTTTGCCAAAAATATTTATGTAAATTTTCTTTTTCTTTTTTTTAACCCTAAAAGGTCTTCGCTTGTCTTGTCTTTAGCTTTGTTGTTGTGCTCAGCGAAAAGTCAAAGTGTAGTCGAAGGCGGACAAAAAGCCAAAAGAGATAATAATTTTCGTTACAGTCAGCGGCAATCATAGACGAAAAACTAACAATGTTGAATATCCACAAACAAGCGTACATGTCAACAATAAACCAACGTCATCATCATTATTATCATCATTATCACCATCATTCAGCCATATTAGTCGAGTCGAGTATCAACTACAAACTAGGAAATGAGTGGCAAAATATCATATTACTCTGGTAAGCTCAGTGTGTGCTTGCGTATATATATCTATCTATAAATGTTTCCCTTTTTTTCTCACATTAACAGTGAAATATGCAAAGACCAACCCGTACATATACACAACACATCTTTCGGTAACTCAGGCTCTTTTGTGTGATCTCTATTTTATTTATTTTTTTTTTTTTTCTTATTTTCTTTCTTTTTTTTTTTTCTTTCAACATAAAACCAGAAAATCCCCAAAAAGCGGTGTTGTTGCTGATATTCAACATCAAAGAAATGCTTTCGATTTCATTGATGAGGAGAGAAAAAAATACAAAAAATAAAAACTAACTTCATTTATTTAAATGTATCGGTTGACTCGGATATGTTGCTGTGATTGTTTTTTGCCTGTTCGAAATAATATCAGAAGGTGTGCAGTATGATGTGTTGGCTATAACTATGTTTCATTTGTTTCTTATTGCTTTTTTCCTCGCTTCACTTTCTTCATATTTTCTCATA